GGAGGGAGGAGTCCCCTTCATAGAAATCTGCCCAGACGGATTTCAGGTGCTTCATCAGCCGAGAGCCCAGGGAAGGGGTGACTCAGCCTTCCATCCTTCCGAGGTGGGTAAAATGAGGACCCGGATTGTTGTTGGGGGCGATATGCTGACTCTGTAAACCGCTTAGAGAGGGCTTAAAGCCCTATGAAGCGGTATATAAGTCTACTGCTATTAAGGCAGAGAACCGGTTGGTAAATTATTTGAATCCCACCACCGGTAGGTGTGATAGGTAGGAATCGGATATGTCTTTGTCTGGTTCAGTAATTATATAAAAGAAAGGATCAACGGACAGGTAATCTGACTGACTACACCCACCTATGTAATGGATAGAAAAATGTAATTGTTGTAAGGTCCAATCGCTATATGGAAACGTTTATGCCAGAAACGTCGCACTATGCCCAATGTTTTTAATGTTTATCTAATAAAAATTTATATTAAAAAGAGGGAGGTTTGAACCCAGGTGATGACTAGCCCCAAGGTGGGTCGGTGGTTATTCTGAGCAGCCATTCAGCGGAGGATTACCTGTCCTTAAGGCCCTCGTTTATCAGGGTTGTGTTAAATATGGCGGTGTCTTGATCTTCCTCCTAACCGTGTGGTGACATAAAGGGGGAGATTGTTCCGCTCCTACCACCATGGCTTTGCTCCCACCCCCAAGTTCCGACACCCGCAACGGCGTCTTCCTTCTCGGCACTTGAGTGCCCCAGTTGCCCCTCCGAGGCTTGTGAAGGGGTGGGGGGGGTGGGACCCCCCAGGACACGCACCAGAACCTCAAAAAGCAGGGAGAGCAACTTGCTGTTGGCCATGAAGGTGCTGTCCAGAACGCCCAGGTTGAACCAGCTTCCCAGGCAACGGAAGATCTTGATGAGCATCTTCTCGTCGCTCCCGGCTTTCTCCACGCAGGTCATCTGGCGGAGAGAAAGAAGAGGCCCGAGTTCAGCTTCCGACCAGGAACAGCTTCCCCACCCACCAAGGTGGTTGTTTCTCAAGCTTGAAGGCTTCCAAGAACTGATGATGTTCCCTAGTTGGGTCATGAAACGCCTGCAAGAAATCCACCTAGCTCAGAGAGCACCAAGGACCCTTCCTTCCTTCCCTCTCTCCTTCCTTCCTTCCTTCCTTCCTTCCTTCCTTCCTTCCTTCCTTCCTTCCCTTCCTCCTTCCTTCCTTCCCTCCATGCCACAAATTCTACACCCTTTTAGCACTGATGATGTTCCCTAGTTGGGTCATGAAACGCCTGCAAGAAATCCACCTAGCTCAGAGAGCACCAAGGACCTCCACAGTCCTCTCTTCCTTCTCCTTCTCCCAAACCCTTCCAGAACTGATGATGTTCCCTAGTTGGGTAATGAAATGCCTGCAAGAAAACAACCAAGCTCAGAGAGCACCAAGGACCCGCACAGCCCTTCTCCTCCTCGTCTCTTTCCTTCTCCTCCATCGCATCCTCCTCTTCCATTCTACAAACCCCACTCCCCTTCTAGCACTGATGATGTTTCCTAGTTGGGCCATGAAACGTCATCAAGAAAGCCATCAAGCTCAGAGAGCACCAAGGGCCCCACAGTCCTCCTCTTCCTTCCTCTTCCTCCCTTCTTCTGCTTCCTCTTCCCCTCCTCCTCTCCACAAACCGCCCCTCCCTTCCAGCACTGATGGATGTTACCTAGTTGGGCCATGAAACGCCTGCAAGGAAACCACCAAGCTCAGAGAGCATCAATCACCTCCTCCTCTTCCTCCTCCTCCCTCTCTCTTCCCCCCCCCCACACCCACTCCCTTGAGCCCTGATGACGTTCCCTAGTTGGGTCATGAAACATCTGCCAAAAAAACACCAAGCTCAGAGATCACCAAAGACTCTACAGTTCAACCCTGAGCTATAATCATTCTCTTCTATCGGTAGGGTAGAACCTATTTAGTTCCCGGAGGGGAGACCACACGGAGATCTCAGGCTTGTAAGATAGACTGAGAAGTTGAAGGGGAAAAAAACAAGCATCAAGGAATAAGGCAGGAATAAACCATTTTTTTTCTGTTGCCAAGATAACTTCACACATTCCCTAAAGGAACCAGAGTCAAGCATGACTCGAAAACAACTATGAACTGGGAATTCATCTAGCCAAAGAAATGGACTCAATATAATCCCAGTTTAGCATTGATGATGTTACATAGTTGGGTAATGAAAGGTCTGTAAGAAAACCACTAAGTTCAGAGAGCACCAAGGACCCACCACAGCCCTCCCTCCCTTCCTTCCCCCTTCCTCTCTCTCCTTCCTCCCTTCCCTTTATTCCTTCTCCACAAACCTCCCTCCCATCTAGCACTGATGATGTTACCCAGTTGGGTCATGAAAAGTCTGCAAGGAAACCACCCAGCTCAGAAAGCACCAAGGACCCCCACAGTCCTTCTCCTTCTTCTCCCAAACCCTTCCAGAACTGATGATGTTCCCTAGTTGGGTTATGAAACGTCTGCAAGAAATCCACCAAGCTCAGAGAGCACCAAGGACCCCACACTGCAACCCTGAGCTATAAACATTCTCCTTTATTAATCCCCTCTTATGCTCAAGATCAGTGGGGTTCGGTTGCACCAAGCCACCCTCTTGGTTTTATGGCCGACAAGGGTTCAAATCTTCCCAACTTCTAGGCTCCTCCACGGGTCCCTCTGCGAGAGGCTGGAGTTGAGCGGAGCTGAGCTGCTACGCTTTGGAGTTGCCCAAACTCACCAGGAGGGAGACCACCGTGCTGGAGTAGAAGGCCAAGTCTTCGATGATCTCGGTGCGCCGGTTGGCGCCGATCCGCAAGGACCGGCTGTGAACCTCCTCGGGGAGCACCGTCAGGATCTCCAGCAGGAAAGGCAGGGAGGTCACGTCGTTATTGTACCTGGGGTCCCCCGGGAGGGTTGAGAAGAGACGGAATCAGAATTCAGACTGAGAGCAACTTTATTGTGGCTTTTGAGTGTGCGCTCACCGGCATGTGGCTCTCAAAAGGGTCACCCGCCTCCCACGGACACCACAGAAGACATGGAGAAAATAAGTGAACAAAAAGAATAAGGATAAGGAGAGGATGAGGACAGGACAGGACAGCTTCCAACTCTGTCCTTCTGTTAAGGAATGGGAATGGAATAGAATGCAGAATAGAATAGAATTAGGAATAGAATAAAATTAAGAATTAGAATAGATTAGAATAGAATATAGGAATAGAATAGAATAGAATTAGGAATAGAATAAAATTAAGAATTAGAATTAGGAATAGGAATAGAATAAAATTAAGAATAAAATTAGATTAGATTAGAAGAATATAGGAATAGAATAAAATAGAATTAGGAATAGAATAGAATAAAATTAAGAATTAGATTAGATTAGAATATACGAATAGAATAGAATTAGGAACAGGAATAGAATAAAATTAAGAATTAGATTAGACTAGAATAGATATATAGGAATAGAATATAGGAATAGAATAGAATAGAATTAGGAATAGAATAAAATTAAGAATTAGAATTAGGAATAGGAATAGAATAAAATTAAGAATAAAATTAGATTAGATTAGAAGAATATAGGAATAGAATAAAATAGAATTAGGAATAGAATAGAATAAAATTAAGAATTAGATTAGATTAGAATATACGAATAGAATAGAATTAGGAACAGGAATAGAATAAAATTAAGAATTAGATTAGACTAGAATAGATATATAGGAATAGAATATAGGAATAGAATAGAATAGAATTAGGAATAGAATAAAATTAAGAAAGATTAGAATAGACTAGATTAGATTAGAATAGAATATAGGAATAGAATAGAATTAGGAATAGGAATAGAATAGAATTAAGAATTAGAATTAGGAATAGAATAAAATTAAGAAAGATTAGAATAGACTAGATTAGATTAGAATAGAATATAGGAATAGAATAGAATTAGGAATAGGAATAGAATAGAATTAAGAATTAGAATTAG